CCAGCTTGGGTGCGAGATGCCTGTGTCAAGCAAGTTCCGGGCCGTTGCAGCGGCAGAAGCTTCCTGACACGGATGGTCTGGCTGCAAAACTGGAGACGTACTGCGAGGAAAATCGATAGTTTCAATAAAAGCTTTTCTTTGGAGCTTCAAAAAAGTCTTCTGGAACGCGCCGAGAAGGGAGGGGAGCGGAGGGTTGCGGAATTGGCTGGATCTGGGTCTAACTCTGCCGGGGCGACAACGAGATCGTGGGCTCACCCTTCTTCCTCGGGTCGGGTGCGTGCGTGCGTGCGTGTGTGCGTGTGTGCGATGTGTTTCGTTGGACAATAGATGGAGACACGGCGAGGCCGGTTGGAGTTGATGAGTGGTGACACTCTAGGCCACTCCCCATCCAATCCAAGGGCTGCGGTACCTCATGGAAGGTGGGTAGTGAGGTGTGGTTCGTGTAAACGTAAACGGATACTCCAGCCTCCAGGATGGGTTTGGTTCAATTAGGAAGGCTTCCAGAACGAAATAAAACGGAAGCTGGAGTACTTCATACATTAGTACCTAATCACAAAATGTTTCTAGAAGGATTCCAGCACGGGAAGGCTTCCAGAATAAGCCAGCTTGGCCCAGCCACAGCCACCAACAAACAAACAAACAAACAGCTTCAGGCCCTGGCCAAGAGAAGCATAGCATCTCCTCATTTGGTTGGCATTATAAGTTAATAGTCACGGATTCGCCTGATGATTTCGTTGTTGTCATGGCTCGTGCTTCTGCTCCTTACCTGATGTTTGTTTGTTCAGGGACCCTGTTTCTTTGGCCTCGTTCCATCCATCCATGGCTGTTGACCACAACCAACTAACTAGTACGATATCGTTGAAAGAAATCGTGTGCCGTACTGTCCTGCTGTAAAACATGGCTTCCTGTATTACCCGAAACCGTGGCGTACATATGTAGCATTGCACCATAGGTAGGTATAGTAGTTCTCGATCTCGGCAGCCTGCAGTATTGAGTATTGGATACAATCGTAGTGTAGTCCACGCACTCGGTTTTGATCTTTACGAGAACATTTGTCAGTGTCAATATGTCCACTCGTAAACTGTGGCTGCCTTGGTGTGTTGTCGATGGCGGCTTATGTTCACCTCTACCGATAATCAATAATTACCTACTTATGGCGAGCATCAAGAGGCAATGCAATGATAGGGGCAAGACTTGAATATCAACACCAACACCTACAGCATCAGTCCGTTTGCAAAATAAAGTCTCAGCCCTGTGCCATGCCCCTAACGAGGTTAGTAGACCTGCAAAAAACCGTTTGAATGATGGGAATGAGCAGAATGACGGCGTGGCCCATTCCAATGGATCCCTCCACATTCTTGTCCCTCAGAGATGTCACCCATCAGAGGGGGCAAGGCCAATCACGGCCAAGACAGCTGGAGCCTTCTCATTGCACAAGAATTTGGCGTCGGTATGTAGGCGTGAATCACTGTCATCATGATCGCCAGCCAATGCTGTCGTCCATCCATCAGCATGCGTAACCAGCCATCAATACCACACCTTGCTCTTGCTTGCGTTGAGAACTCAACCGACCTTTGTTGGCCTAGACTTGAGGACAAGCTCCGCAATCATATGGCGCCACAATGTGGTTAGATTAGTTGGTTGGGTCAAAACTCCACTGACGAATGCCGGTCCAGTAACGAGATATATATGAATGAGTACTTGAGAGAAGAGGCTCAGGGTGTGCTGAGATAGAATCCCGATGCCCTGCAATTGACTCAGTGCCGCAATTCGAGTCTTGGCAGTTAAGGTACCTGATCAAAGTAGGGGAAACACGGTCACGATTCGACATCTTGCATCTCGATATCCCCAGTGTCAACTCTTGATATTCGAATATAGTTCAGGTTCTATACTCACTGCCTAACCTGCAGTCATTACTGAAAACAGAGACTTCTCGGTCTCCTCGGAATATGATACACAAGGTGATGGAAAAGAAGCACTTGGGACAAGGCTGTAAGGATTAGATGCATTCTATTGCTAATACTTGTTCGATTTGAAGCCTCAGTCCATCTCACGCCGCAATGGTTCGCCTAGTCGCGGCTATTCATGGCGTTTGTTCTCTCGACCTGAGCCATCGCGCAATGTCAATTGGTCGCCTTGCTGCACAAGGAGAGCCGTATGAATCCAGCAACTCGCAGTTTGCGGCTCTTCTAGGCGATTCGGCATCTCTCCCCGCCTCCAATATGAGGGGGAGGTTCTGACCTACCGAAACCTATCTAGATTAAGGAACCAAGGGGTCGTGTTGGAACATTCACCGACCTTTCGCCCTTTGACTATGGGCCAACAAATCACACTCATGCCATCACAATGTGCCATGTATCCAGCGCGACCGACTGAGATGTCGCTGTGGTAATCAGAAACGCGTAGCAAACCCGGGCGGCTGGGCAGGATGGCGCCCGCTTCTTGAAAATACCCAAAGGTCGGTAACAAGACCGGCTGTGAAGACAAATTGATAAATAACCATACTCCCTAGTTACAATGTATATACCTTGGAGGAGTTGGGAGTGCCTAGAGCGCTACGGGACGAGAGCTTGGAGAAGTCCTGTTCCATTTCCTCGCACCGTGCTGTATAATTCTTGACGCGGCCAATAGGGACAGCAGGATGTTATCATCGCGATCGGCCGAGCTACTGCTCTCTAGCGCCAAAGCCAAGATGAGTTTGAAGGCCCAGTCACAAGGCCATCGCTCCGCTGCAGGGGCTCTGGGAGTGGGACACTCCACTGAATTAGAGGCTCAGGAGGGGCGCATGGTACATACCTACCTACTAACTACCTAAAGGACGGCATTTGATTGATCTTGTGAGAGGGCTTGAGGATCCAAATTAGTACCTCGAGGTCTGTTTGGGACGGCGGCGGTTGATAACAAGGCAGTAAATCGCTGCCAAGAGGTCATCGACTTTCAGTCAGCAAAGACAAAGACCATCAGCCATTTGAGGGGTCTTTACAAGTATCTGATGCAGTGGTTGATGCTCAGGTTGTTTGTTGTTCGTCACTGATCACACACTTTCAGTTTCGAGGCAAGGCAATCTGCACAACACTCTTTCGGTATTAACAAGACATCCAATGCAACGCATCTGATACGTGCGTTGCGCTGTAGATTATAAACTCCTTCCGACGTCACGAACTTGATATTGAGAGGCATTTGTGACGCAAAAGTCGATGCCGGCTACCCAAAGCAGTCGGGTCAAGGCCAAGCCCAAGAGAGCGAGAGACGAGACCCCGTCGATGACGATCCCGCCTTGGTTTTTGGTAGCCCACTCATTCCTTCATTCATTGGATTAAATTGGGTCGGGTCGGAGGACATCACTGATCACTCACGGTTAGGGCTAATTAACTGACGTTGGGGTGTAAATCTCCCGTTATTGCATGGTGATCCTCGGATCGAGCCTTTGAGCTCAAAGGGTAATGAATCCCTTTGACTATCGCAGCGAAAGATCATGAGAAGGAGGTGATTGAACACGCCACATTTATTTACCTTTAATGATACAGCACACATTCTTCTCGCAAGAACCACCGATAGATCCCTTCATTCCGTCACAGAGGGCAATTGGAGGTGAGAGCGTGCGGGGAAACCGGCCACCATTGGCTCGTTAAGATGTATTGTCCCCACGCCGATATTACATACACATATGTAATGGGAAGTGCTTTGCGATGGCGTGTTATGTGTGTCGCGCTGCGCTGTGTTTGCCTCTGTTATCACCTTGTTCTGGCAGAGCTAATTGATCTGAATGACCGACCACTGCGATCGAGATGACAACAGCTAATAGGTGAGGTGAGGGTCGAGAATAGACCACCAAGAGATCAGAGAGCAAAGATGATAAAGAAGGAAACAGACACACAAACGAGCAAACAAACAAAACTTGGCAGACAGAGGCCCCATTGAGCCTCCACCATTAGCCACAATTCTGCCCTTCCTAACCTTCTAGCGTGATTCCATATCGATCAGGGTGTCTAGGGTGTCTGGGGTGTCTGGGGTGTCTGTCTGATCTGATCTGACGGATGGGATGACCATGACAGCAAGTTTACAGACATGCTAGTCGGTACATATGCTTACATGTCCTCAGTGGAGTATGACCAAACCGTGTTCCTGTCGATGATGGTTAAGCCTGGCCCTCAAGGAGCCAGGTCATCACCCGTTACATTGTATTGCACGCGGCACGGCACTTCACCGTCAGTCATGTAGGTAGGCTAGGGGAGAAAAGAAAAGTCATGACCATGACGCTAAATGATAAAAATATTTAGGTAATTTAGCCTTAGTTTAGGGAACTCTTTACTGAGTTTGTTTTAGCACCCTCTTTTCAAGTCTTGAGTTTTCTTGCTCCCTGAGCGTAGGTAGGCAGGTAGTTAGGAACTGCCTTGTGCGTTGCTCCCCTTTGGACCATCCGTTCCACCCGCCGTCGTATTTAGTGCCACTTCGTCACGCTCTGCCGACTAATTTGCCACACTCAGTCCCCCGTTCCGTGCTCGAGCCTCACTGTCCCCACGCGACTTACATAATTCTGATCTCAGCTCAAGTAGCCTTCGGCGTTGTCCGTAACTTGGGTTAGAAGAGTCGTTTTCTTCTTTACTTTTCGTGGCCTCTTGTTTTTAATTTCATGAGCCTTGCTCTCTTCAGCCAGCCACGTGCCTGAATCAGGGGACTTTCCCTAACTCTCTTGCGCGTGTCAGGTTATCAAGGGGTATGTCTGGCATGTCGTTGGTCGTTGGTTATCGATGCTGCTTCGAAAGCGCCTCTTGGGCTCTCTGGATCACACTTCACAACGGCCCGTAGCGCTTTACTAACTCAGTTACGAGGCGGTGCAGTCTACTGATTCCAATAAACAATAGTATTCCATATATAGAAAGAAGGGAATTGGAACAACCGGAAGACGCCTTAACACATTAACTTAGGTAGCACCTAGGTATGGATGTGCCCTAGGAACTACTTAGACTACGTGCCTACCCCACGCCAACCAGGAGAATATGTTTAAGCTGGACCCCTATTCAACGATCAAGGTGAGGAGTACAGAAGAAAAAAGAAGTAGACAAATTGCTTCTAAAAGCCTTCTTCTCTTCAACTGTAGTACCTTGCCCTAGGCCTAGCCATGGACAACTGGGCAATTCTGTATAAGGTACTTACATACATACAGGTATGTAGGTACGATAGGTGACCCCTTGTCAGCGGCATTCGTCCAGTCGTGGCGATGCGATGCGATGCGATGCGAACAGGGGTATGTGAGGTGAGTGAAGCTCCATTGTCCTAGTACACAAGTGGAGGCCTACCCTGGGGGCACTGGGGCAGTCCAAGTCCAACAGTAGGTGGCTTTGGGCTGTAAGGGGCGCTTGCCATTGGTTTCTGACAGGGCCCGGGCCCAATATGGCCTTGTGGTGAGTGCTGAGTGGTCCCTGCCCTTCCTTGCACCTTCCATTTCGTCGTCGTCGCCACCTAAGCTCACCCGACCTCACCTTTGTCGGCTTCCATTTACCTAAGGGTACCTAAGGTAGGGTCGGTATGTACCTTTGCCCACCTACCTGAGGTCCAATTGGAGTGGCCTGTCTCGTCGCCCCCGGCCCCGCCCCTGGTTGTCTCTGTCATATGTTTGGCTCTCGTTGATCCCGTCATGCCAGGCTCGGTTTTTTTCTTCGCTGTAACTTGACTGGTGTGTGTCGCAACCGTAACAGGCACAGACAGGAGACGGTACCTCAAACACTCTGTGCTTCTGCGTGTACTCCAGCCACCATTGGCCGAATTGATTCATACATGTAATCTCCTTCAGTGAATGAGACCCAAAACATTTGCTCTCTCAGTTAATAACGGGGGATCCCAGTGCTAATTCTGCAGACAATTCTTTGGTCTCCCGATCGTTGGTTTGGTTGCGTTGCGTTGGGTTTCGCTCCCTCCGCTTGGTATGTACTCTACTGGCGTCGATTGACGTCGTACTTGCTAAGCACACCCCCCCTCGTTCAGTCCGCCCTTAGGTTCTATCCCGGCCTCTTTCAGTTTCTTGTCCTGCATCTCCACATCAACCTCTCCACCCTGGGTTGTGTTCTGTCCCAGTCTGGCTCCTCATCCCTCACTAGTAGCCCAAGCTGTTCCAGAGAGAGAGAGAGAGAGAGGAAGGGCCAAAAAAAAAAAAGAAAAAAAAAAGAAGAAAAAAGAACTAACCAAGACCAAGCGAAGACAAAAAGAGAGAATTGGGGGGAAAAGGCAAATTTTTGTCAGGAGCTTTCTCTTTAAGACAGGCCCAGCCCCAGCCCCATTCATCGCCCGCTCTAATCGCCTTCCTTTTTCTGGTGCACAGTTTTGTTTCGCAGGTGACGACACACACAACACGACGTTATCGGACTTTTCCTTATAATTCGTCACTCACATCGACATCGAGACGCACGCAGAGCACGCTCTTTTTTCGCCATTGATCTGAATCTCGAACACGATACTCCCTCCTATAAGCACAATTAGCATACCAGGCACCTGTCCTGTTTCATCTGTAAGCTCCTTTCCCCTCCTTTTCACGACAAAGATCCCCAAAACCCAATACCACCAGACCAGACCAAACTAACAAGCCAGCCAACCAACCAGCAGATCTGCCGCCTCGACTGAACTTTAGCGCTCCTCCAACGCCGCTCATACGCCCGCCGCGCCCACGGTCCCTCACTCGTCCTCTCACCTCCACAGCCCACAGCCTACTCTACAGTATAACTGGGGTCTCGACCTTTATTACACTTTAGGTCCCCCAGGTCCGCATTCCTACTGTTGTATTCAAAACCGCCTCTCGCCCAAACCCAATCACTCTTTCGCTCTAGACGTCCACCTGTCTTCCCGATAGACTCACGGCTGGCTGCGCACCGTCGAACTCTCGTCGCCTTCGTCCGCCTCCTACTTCTGTTCTTCTCTGCCCGGCCTTCGCCAAGCCCTCTGGCACAGGTCACCATCCGCAATCCGTCTACGACGACATTCGCCGGCTCGCCGCTCCAACTACCCTCACATTCCAATCCTTAGGGACCACCCAGCAACCTCGACGGCCTAGACCCTGTCTTGCGCCATCTCCGCTTTGGGATTGATTGCCCTCGAAACGTCACATCTACAGCCTCCAGGCGGACTTGTTTGTGATCACGTCCGATCACCAATTACACTACCTGTCCTGTCCGTTAGGGTTTCCGACTTTGATTCCTTTTCTGCGATCCTTGACCCCCGACCTTGGCAATCTCTAAATCCTATCTCTCGCCTCGTGGTCTTCATTGTGCACCCTCTTCTTGTGGCACAAATTGGCGCCACAACAAGCCATCTTACGCCGCATATCTCTCGTCACCACTGCGGCCGTTCCCTGCCTGTCGACTCTGTGATTATCATCGACAAGTTCACAGCATAATTTGTCCTTTATGGCCTTATCGTTCCTGCGGTAGCCTACTTCTAGACCCGACGCCTCTTCTTTCTGTACCATATGAGCATCTGGGTCAATCTTACTGCGTCAGATATACAGTCCCCACTTGGTGTCGCTCTTATTACTTGACCTGGTCCCCTCCCTTAGAAACGCTTCAAGACCTGGTCCGTTTCCATATTTGATCTTTGACTACTCTACTACTCGGCCTGGGACGCACAGAAGCGTTCCTGACCATAGAATGATGGGCGTATCACGCTCGCGGAGGCAATCTCTCGAATGCCACGGATGCCACATACCTCCGCCATCCCCTCAACCTTCTTCGGCCTTCGAGGACATCTTCGACGTCGATTCGCCTGTGTCAAGGCCTGTCAGTGAGGCGTTTATGTCTGGAACCTCGACACCAAACGGCACAATAGGTTCTCGGCCACCATCTCTCACAGAAATTCTTCTCGATGTTGCGTCGCCACCATGGACCCTCAGCGCCTTCATGGCCTACCTCTCGCAAAACCACTGCATGGAGAGTCTCGAATTCACGCTCGACTCGCAACGGTACGCCGCCTTTTACAACGAGATGATTACCAACAACCCGAACCGCGCCCAAGAGACCAATGACCGTGTCTGTATTTTGTGGGAAAAGCTTATGCAGGTTTACATTATTCCTTGTGCGCCTCGAGAGGTCAATCTCCCGGCCCGTATCCGCGATCAGCTGCTCGGCCTTCCTTGCGGCCCAATCCCCCCTCACCCCGCACAGTTGGACGAGGCCGGCCGGATCCTCTATGAACTCATGAACGATTCATTACTTCTACCTTTTCTCCAATCTGTCGCCCCCATGCAGCTCGATGGACCCGTCGACGAGCATGGACGCGGGTCTCGCCGTTCCTCAAACAGTAACACCCGAATGGGTGCGCCCGTCCGCTCAATGAACTCCATGCATCAAACTGACCCAGAGTCCCTGACTGACGACAGCGACTGTAACTCGACTCCTGGTATGGAGCCCATGACTCCCCCAACCACACCGCCTACTTCCGAATGGGCTTTTACAACTTCCCCCGGGGGTCTTCAACGTGCTGTGGCTGCTCACAATAAGGGTTGGAAGAAGATGGGCGCCAAATTGGGTTTCAATCGCAAGAGCTCACGAACACGCTCCGCCCCTACTTCATCTCATCCTCCTCCACCTGAGGGATATCATATGCATCACGACTCCTTATGAGGGTCACAGGTCGTGTCATTGCCTGAATCATCCGATGAAGCCTATTGGACTCGTGAGATTTCTCAAGAAGCTCTTGAGGCTGAGGGCTCGTATCATGGCCACCCACTGCACAGCAACTCGAATGCAGCGGATGATGGTTGGTACCACAACCCTGACCTCCAACAATATGGTGGTTTCGGTGATGGCACGGCCGCGAAATTTGACACAGCTCAAAGCGGTGCGAAGGCGTCTCTCGTGCAAAGGAACATACGCATGAGAAGACGACAGAACAAGCCCCCGGAGCTTATAACTTATATGCAGTCGGCGAGGAATAAGTACACTGGTCAGTGCCAGCAGGCTTCCGCCACACCTTCATATCGCCCTGATCTGCCTGCTCTATTAGTATCTTCCAACTATGTAGGAAACAACAGCATCGATAACGCCTCGATGCCAATGACTGATGTGTCAAATTATCTGCCCACGCCTACTACCAGCAATGAGGACATGAGGTGCCCATCGACAAGTTCAGAAACGGAAGCGTTCAGATACGCTTCTCCAATAGAAGACTTGTATGGATGGGACGCGGAACTCGAGAGGCGTGAAGCTTCACCAAGCCGGGATTCGATAAGCTCCACCGAAGGTCTTGATGCCTTTGCTCTCAGCTACAGGCGAGCCAACGGTAGCAAGCATAGCTTGCTGCAGCGAGTCTTCCGCGTTGGCTCTTCGTCATCTATGGGCAAGATGGAGACAGCTGTCTGAGGTGCTGGGGCTTACGCCAGCGTATAGGCCGGTTTTATTGTTTGATATTCATTGTTACGAGGTCCAGTTTGGCATTTTGCATACATGGGATTGCCACCGGCCATCATGACAAAGGTGGCTGTGTACGGCAGGCAAGGCGTTGGTGGGTTCATCGTTTGTTATCTGGTTTCAATTGCATCGCGGGTTGGGGTTTTGGAAGCTCATTTTTGTTCATTTGAAGATTATTTGGCTTTGAGTGTACGCACTGGGCCACTCATCCAAAGGGATTGGGTGATGAGACTGCATTTTCACGAGGCGATAAACGAACGACTGGACGGGCAGCAAAGAAAAAAAGTCATGAGTGGCCCGGTCTGACGATGACGATTACGGCCTTTCAGTTTTGGTTGCGATTTTGGATTAATACGACTGGGTACAAAGAAAATAAAGAGAAGGACTTTTGTGTCTAGTTAGCCATGATACCCCTATCCTTCCTCAACAGGAGGGAATCTAGACTTAATGTCTTAAAAACATATTACATTACCAAACCCTCATTGTCTTGACTGTTGCGTGGCTAACAAATATGAGAAGAAACAGACTTCAGTATGACCCCAGGAATGACCCAATGCCATCAGTAGCGAGAATGTTACAATCACGTCAAGTCCAGTCCAGCAAGCCCGGGACGGTAGTAAAGTTTCGGATTGTGAAGGTCTGGAATGTGAGGCTAATCATCATGCTAAAAGCAAAACGCAATCTTTGACTGGAGGAAGAGGTATTCAACTTTGCTTGTACAGGTCAAGCACACAGATCTGGCTGGATCAATAGTCCTTTAATATATTGAAAGCTTGACTAACAGAAAGGGAACTCACTAATGGCCAGGGTTTTCACTTTATCCTAGGACATACCTTTTATGATACTCCACTGTGGAAGCTATTGTCAGCTGAAGCTGGCAGAAACAAGCTTCCACGATCGACAGCCTTGTACTCCGTATGGAAAACTCGATAGATGGCCTTCAAGTTGTTCTTGTTCTTGGGGGTATCCCCCCAGTCGGCATTGCAAAATTTTGCTATCCACTGAGCTGCCCCCCAGGACCATGCCATACAATTCTTTGGATGGTGATCCAGCATTAGTCGGTCAGCTTATCGTGGCGTGAATACATCTGCCATTCCAGCGAGCTGGCAAAGTCAAGCTTTCCTTGCTCAACTTGCTTACGTGTCACAGTAAGCATGGGCTTCGGTAAACCCATAGACTCTAAGTAGGCAACAGCTAAAGGTTTGTGTGAGTGCGGTAACCTAGTCATGGCAGAGACAGACACAGATGGGGTGGGAAATTGGTCATAGTACGCACATTCTTTCCATTCGAGATCCTTTCGTTGGCGGCTCCACTTCAGCTCTTCAGCCATGATGTCTATCACCCTGGGTAGGGCTTCGAGGGCGGCCTGCGCATTGAGAAAGGCCAGTCGCATGCGTCGAGCGAGAACATCAACGGCCGTCTGGGCGTACTCGTGTCGAATAGCATATCGAATCTCGCCATCAACAAATGGATAGAGCTGGGAGATGCGTTCACCGCGGGCGGGGAAGCGCTTGTCAGTCAGCTTGCAAAGCGAGGCAACAGTCCAAGCACGATCACCATAGGACTCGGTCAAGTGTTTGGCGACCTCAGTCTCAACCCCAAAGTGCTGGATAACAGGGATGAATAGTGTTGGGCTAAAGCCGTGAGCACCAACCAAACGAACCTTGTGCGTCTGACATTTGCCATCCAATATTGCCCCATCGTCAATTAGATCGGTACCGCTGACACGAGGCGCATCTGTGACAGGCCTGGGCTCAAGACGAAATTCTTGAATGGCAAAGTCTACGCACTCCTCTGCCATTTGCCTATAGGTTGTCCATTTCCCGCCTGCACAAGTCAACAATCCAGAAGCGGAGATATCAATCAGATGATTTCGAACAAGGGACTCGGTGTTCTTGGCTTTGGGGTCCTTGACGAGCGGGCGAATGCCGGACCAGGCAGCGAGGACATCACCTCTGCGAACATTTATCTCTGGGGATAGGTAGCGGCTGACTTCGCTCAGGATCCACTCGATAGACTTCTCGTCGGGTAGAGGATTTGATGTGATGGTCGAAGGGGAATCGGTGGTGCCTGCGATAGTGTTGCCTTGCCATGGGAGGAAGAAGATGACCCGGCCGTCAGACGTCGACGGATCGATCAATCCCATTTTTCCCGGACTGAAATAACCAGGGAGAATGACATGAACCCCAGATGCTGGGGCGACAATTTCCTTGCAGCCTGGATCGTCCATTTTTCGAACAGAGTCAGTAAAAGGCCCCGTACAGTTGATAACACCCTTTGCGCGGACGGTTATGGGCTCGGCTGGTCGACCATCCTTTAAGGAAACGAGATCCTTGACTATGGCGCCGCAAAGGTTTCCGTCGCTATTCTTTACGAGTCCTGTGACCTCAGCATGGTTGACAACAGTTGCGCCATAGAGGGCGGCGGTCATTGCGATAGAAACATTCATGCGCGAATCGTTATGTGCACCGTCGTAGTATACGAGAGCACCGACCAGATCTGTAGGTTTAAGCATAGGGAAGGCCTCAAGTGCCTTACTTCGAGTCAGAAAGTAAGACCCCTCAATGCCTTCACTGCCGGCAAGAAAGTCATAGAACTTAGTGCCGGCCCAGTAATAGGGAGCTTTCCACCACTTATCGAGGGGCAGCATAATGGGGAGCCGTCTGTAGGAAGTACTTGCGCTCCTTCAGAGCCTCCTTGACGAGCAAGTACTGGTTATAATCCAAGTTCCAGACGGCTTTCTCGAGATAGCGGACACCTCCATGAACCAGCTTGGTACTCTTACTGCTCGTGCCGCTGCTGAAATCGTCACGTTCGACGACAGCGACTTTGAGGCCACGAGTAGCAGCGTCGAGAGCGACACCGGCACCAGTGGCACCACCCCCAATGACAAGTATGTCATATTGCTGGAATTGAGGCCGTGAGCTCCCTCGGAGTTGGTCTAGTTGCTCTTCGCGCGTTCTGACGCGAGGAAATCGAGGAAGCTTGAAAGTGCCATCAGCACCAAAGGTTGGAGGCGGAACTGCGGGTGATGTATGGCCAGTGAAATCACGGGGACGGTAGCTATAGACGAGAACAGCCGCAGATGTAGTGGCGACGCCTGGTAGCCAAAACCGATGAATGAGTCCTCTTGGCACACCTGCGAAGGCCGGCATTTGTAGCAATGGTTCAAGCGTCAGCGATAGTCTATTCAGAGACTTGGTGCGATATAGCGATAAAGAAGCGGTGTGGTATTTGGACAGGAACTATATGCGAAGTTGTGAGTCTGTAAGAATGAACAGGTAACTAGGTTAGGTAGGTATGCAACATTGATGGGGACGATGTCTCGGTCGCACTGCAATGACGATATCGGAAGACTGAATACGGTACACCCGCAACTACAAGAGAGAACAGAGAGGAGGGAAGGGGAGGGAGGGAGGGCGGGAGGGGGACAGGGAGAGAGTCAGTGGAGGTAAACCTCCATATGACGGAACGTGTTGGCACATGTCAAGTCAAGACAACCATTGGAAGACAAGGCGTCTCCTGTTAGGTTTGGGTTCTCCCCTTCTCCTTGAGTCTGCCCTGGGGTTTGGAGTTGGGTTTGGGGTAAGCGCGATGAACCGTACCTGTAGGTAAGGTTTACCTACCTTTTAGTACGTATCAAAGCTAATCAAGATCAGATACAGTACCTACCCTTACCTGAGGCACCTACCCAAGTTAGTACCTACCTTATATAGTAGGTACCTTACTTAAATAAGCTTCTCTACTAATAATTAATAACTGTAATAAGTAATTAACTTCTAATTTTAATTTTAAAGCCTTAATTATAAAGTAAGAATATTAACTATATTTCTCTTGCCCTATTTTATAGCAATATCTTATATATCTGTCTGTCTGTCTGACCATCTATCGATCGAAAAACCAAACGCCACCCACTCCTCAAGGAGCAAACACCAAACCTCGCTGTCCAGCACTTTGTTAGAAACAAACAAAGGAAACACACAATGCGGTGGATATACACGCATACATTGTAAACAAGATCCATCCGTCGACCCAGTCCAGCCTCTCCCTTCCCTAGCGACTCTCTACCGTCTTCGCAAACAGGATATCAACAAAACACGTAACATAGCTGTGCCCCCCTTTACCAGCCTCGATATCGTTGGATAACTGAGTGCCAATATCGTTGGCGCCGAAATGCCCCATCGACTGCAGCTCGATACCTGCTGCAGCTGACGGTTTGGATATTGTTCTCTCAATTGTTATTGTGTCGGCCTCAGAACCGTGGCTTGGCTTCCTGGCAGCCGTCTCACCTCCTTCTTGTACATCTACAGTAATCTCTTGAAACACCATGATGCCGCCATATGATGGGATGGCTTGCAGTGGCTCCTGTCGCGGAACGTATGTGCTCGATCCTTCCCCTGAGTCGATTGACTGCGTTCGTGCGTTAGTCCCTGGCGAGCAAAGGTTGATGGTCGAGCTGGAACTCCCCGAGTCATTTGACGATACAACGTGCCCAGATATTCTTGAGAGCGACTTTCCTCTAGTTCGCGAACTTCGAGTCGTCTCTGATCGCCCGAACGGCCACCGACTAGACAAGGAGGGACTGATCGTATCCTGGGAGCCCTCATGGCGCCTCGCGGTCTTCGTGATGTGGCCAAACTCCTGGTGTAGCCCTCGAGTAAACTCCTGATAGGACTGGGTCGATACTTGACGCATTCTGAAAAAGCTGAGGGGCACAAACTCGCAGTTGGGGCTTGATAATACCGAATGAATCGGAATCACCAGTCTCACAGCTATCATGGTTGCCTCCAATCGCTTCTCATCCCCACGACAAGGTATGCGGAATGCTGTTGATGTGAGAATCGCATCCTCGAGCAAGGGCTCTTGTGTCGATTCGCGGAGCGCTTTGATGGTATCTGCAATCTGCCCAGCGAACTCGGCCTCTCGATCACTCCGTTGAGAGTCTTCCTTGCACTTCTCAACGATCTTGGATACGGGCACGTTCTCGAACCTCCTGAGGTAGTGCATTTGCCAGTCCTCAAGATTCTCAAAAGGGAAGGGTATCGATGGGAGTAAATGGCGTGCGCCTTTCCTCACCAAGACTTCGAAGCCAGAACTGACACGAGCTCGGACAGCAAAGAAGCCCAGGTGAGTTCCCCGGCGGATGTGATTGTGTTCACTTGTATATGTAGCCATCTCCCTCAGTTTTGTCTCAAAGTCATGGGTTTTGATCTGCATACTGGATTTGATGAGATCGCTGACTTGGTGCAACTCGGCAAACCGATATCCAGTGGATATCAGCCGCTCAGTATCGCGAACCGACTCGGAACGGCGGACAAGGAACATCAGAGATCCACGCCCATAATCGTTGTTTTCCATATGTAGGCCCTTCTCCGTAACATCCAGGCTGTTCTGGACCTCCTCTTTAGCTTCACTGCCTTCCAATCCTGCCCCGGCATTTGACTGCTTGCGCAGTTGGGGCCGAGGCCGTCTACCGTTGGCACCCGTCGGCAGGATTTGATCCCACAAAACTCCAATGGATGCCAAGTCCTCACGAAGTCTATCAGCAAGAGCAGCTGCGGCGAGACAAAAAAGCTCTCGGAATATCATGTCATAGCTGTCGATAGTCTCGCCATGTTCACTCACAAGCTGGATGCCTCGTCGTCCATCTTTATGAGTGCGGGAATGTGGAAGTTGTGACAAATGTTGTCTCATTCCCCCAACAAGGCTCCTTATCATATTCCAGTTTCTTGATGCTTGGTACATCCAATGGAACAGCGGGTGACCGGTATTAAAACCCTCCTTGGCATTCTGCTATGTTCAGCATCATTTGCGATAACCTGGCCGGAGTATAGTCTCACCTTTTCCAGGAAGGAATCAGTCACCACGGTGCTTGGGATGTATCCATCGGGGTCAACGAGAATTCTTCCTCCTTTATCGAAGACCGCTGCTGCAAGAGTGATCTGCTGGGCACGAAGGGCGGACCTTCTCATGTTCCTAGCTCGAAGAATAGCCGAAGTGGCAATGATGAAGCAGGCTCCTAATGACTTTTCTGTGTTAACACTCCTTGTTCTTAGTATTACAAGAGACTTGGGCGTCCATGTGCTTACCAAACAAATGACAACAACAACGGTCCCTGTCCTCGATGGCTCATTGCCGTTGGGCTTGATCCTCTTCAGTCGATAACGAGTGCCCACAGAAGCGCACCAATGCATCCCAGACACAGCCCCGGCGAGGACAACGGCTGAGATGACTCGCTTCCACCATACATTCGCCCACATCGCCCGAAATACGAAAAACATGGCCAATGCCACATTACTTGCAACAATGGCGATGATAGCCGATCCGATGACGTATGACGGCTGGTACACGCATGTATAGTTGTTGATAGAAGCGTTACCAAGGTAGTGCATCCCGCAGACTGCAGTCCCGCAGAGTACACCACCTGCGACAAGCCTCCACCATGAAACGACGTTGTTGGTGCCAACAGCCATGAAGGCAGCGAGAAGAACTATTATGGGGACGAAGAAAGATATAGCAGTGAAGCCGCTTGAATAGGCAACCTGCAATTCCGGCTGACCATCGGCAAGATCAATGGCTCTGTTTCCGATGAAGTGCTACAGAAACAAAGATACAATAAGTCTAACCAGGTATTTGAAATAAGACGCAACCTGACTTACCATACACCAAATAGATACTCCACCCATCGTAACTGCTGAGCTCATGAGCAGGAGGCTGTTTTGGTCAGGACCCTTGTGTGGAGTAATCTGGGAATTTTGTTATCAAGGTAGAGACATACTGATTGAACAGACCCCTTAAACCGGTTCTTCGATTGATGAGCTCGAGGGTTGAACCAGCGCCGACCAGGCTGACGACATAACTCAGGGCAACGAACCCAGCATTGTAGCTCTGAGGCACGATATGACCTTGATACCGCTGCAGCAACTCTTCTGTAGACATGGTTGCAGGTACGTGGAAGAGCAACGACAAGTTGCTGCCGCCGTATTTGAGGATAGCAAAGGTTTCAGACAAGACAGCAAAGCCATCTGGGACAACAGATGTTCTTAACTGACACCCGCATGTCAGGTAGCGAGGACGAGGAAGACCCGATGGCTGTTTCTGGTGGAGTTTGCCATATTGGCCTAGCCACTACGGATAGGCATTAAGGACTTGACGCGAGCTGGTCGTCCACTCAGCAGCTGGGGTTTCTGGATCCAACACAAGGGAGAAGCCTGCATTCTGGTTGCCACAAAGAGAAAAGACGTGGACAATGAGATGCTTGGCGCTCAACAAGAGCCAAAGGTGCTAGCTAGTAAGTGCGATCTCTTTTGAGGGCCCCGAGTCTTGGACCAATGGAGCATGGTGGCCGCCCAGCTGTGGCTTGATGGCTTCCCTGCTTCATTAAGATGACGGCGCTAAGACAAGCCATGGTTCCCGAATTTCGTACAACGGGCATTAAGTTCTGGAGATTAGTGCCGGAGGCTGTCACAATATCTCACCAACCTGCTAGCGTGATCGAGTTGCTTCCTTAGGGATGACAAAGGGTTGGACAAGAGGCGATAGCATGAAGTTGGTCTGAATGCCGTCTTCTCGGTTCTACAAGACGGAGCAATGTACCAAGTAGGTTCTGCACTATACTGTAGCCAACATCCATGACGATTCTGGATCTGGAAAAGACATCGACACTTGCTACCAACAGATATTCAGATCATTTTACCAGGTTCTTGGGACCAGTGCTGGATAGCCGATCATGCTCTTTCTCCCCTGTCTGCCTTCCTGCTAGGGAAAAGCAAGCAAGGGGATGGAGAGCTGAGTGCAGGGGGTGTGCTAAGACCCCAAGATGATTTGGAACAGACCTGCAGGGAGAGCGGGGAACACAGCAAGACATACCGTAACCAGGTGTCTCACAATACCTCAACCCTAGACTTTCACGCCTTGCGATTCGTCGAGGCCGGAGCATTCGGGACTTGAAGTTGCAGGCTTGGCAAAGTAAGTAAAAAAAAAAAAAGAGCTCATGCCGCTATTTGTTCACATCCAGCTAGCATCAGCTGCATTGATGAGCATCAACGGCAAGGGCAACGGCAAGGGCACAGGCATGGGTAAAAGAAGAAAAGATCCAGGTCATCCAGACCAAGCCAAAGGGCGATTGAGCAAGCAGATCTGTCGCTTATCTTGC